TTTGAGAATGATGTGCAAATGCATTTTACACAATTGATGTGTGTATGGATTGTGATGAGTTGTATGAGCCCCTAATAAAATGATTTTAAAAAAAAGAATCGATCATCTACATTGAAAGAGCATACCAAGAATGCATTGGCCACTCTATACACTACTCAGTGACAATCAGAAAAGGTGGGGGTTGACAGGTTTCCTACACCTTATTTGCATGGTCTCACCAATCATTTGGAAGGAACTGCAAAGACTATGGCTAGAAGAGCCATGCCAAGTAAGTCCACTTTACTACAATGGTCCATTATTTCTCTAGGTAGCATATCACCAAGGACTATTGCTGTTGAAAGAAGTACAAACTACATTGAAGCCATTAGTGAAAAAATAGGGTCCAGGAATTGACCAAATACCATGAAAAATGTTTTGACAAAATGTTTCAACAATGAAGGTGCTCATTTTACTATGCCAACAAATTTTAGAGAGTTACCTGGCTGAAAGACAGAAGGAATATTTATATTCATTCCAAAGAAAGCTGATCCTATGGAAGGTTGATTATAAAACAAAATCATTACTATCATGGGAAGTAACATTTTGCAGCATTTTTTTTTAAAGATGACATAAGTCTATGGACAGAGAACTTTTAGAAATTCAAGTCAGATTCTGAGGAGGACATAGAGTGAGTGGTATCATGATTCCTGTATTATGAATCTTTGCTAAAAGCAAATAGCAGAAAGATATTTACCTGTTTTGTTGACTATGGTAAAACATTAGAATGTGTGGGTCATAACATATTATGGAAACTCCTGGACATGCAATGGATGCCCATATATCTAATGCATGTAGTACTACAGAATAAGCACTCAGGGACAAGCAGATCTTTAAGATTCATCAAGCATTGTATCAAGCACCAAACAAGGCAGGCCCCCACCTTCTGGGATTACTGGTAAGTGTTAAAACTAAGTAGAAGAGGGATTTTCAGAAACCCATGGAAAATGCATATTATGAAAAATATATACTTGAAGTCTCCTTGCAAACATCATAAAATCTGATACAATGAGGAAGAATATAAGGAATCCAGGCTGTTTCTCCCAAAAAGAATGGCTATTAACTGAACAAAAACAAAGATAATATGATTTCTGGGGGTTACAGTGTTGGGGGAGGGGGGAATAAAAGGGAGTTATGTCAAGGAGTTCAAGAAGGAAGAGAATGCTTTGAAATTGATTTTGGTAGCAATTGTTCAATACTGCTTGATGTGATTGAACTATAGAATGATATGATCTATATTAGCTCCCAATTAAATAGTTTTGCAAAAAATAGGGGAGGAAGAATATCTGAATAATGCTCATTTAAAACATCATATTCAGATCCGCATAAATGGCACAAGTAAAAAGTTATTCATAACTTGCAACGATGCCCTATTTCTTCC